AAATAATGAATGATTAGAGCATAGAACAGTATGAGTGTAAACAGAATCCTGAGCACAACACTAGCTGGACACTGTAAAATGAACCCTAAAATTGAAAACTAAACACTGTAATCTGAACATTTGTATACACTGAACACTATGCAAACTTAACTCTAAACAATGTTAACTAGATAACATATAAGTTGAACAATGTAAACTAAACACTGAACTCAATACTGTGAACTGAACACTGAAAACTAGACACTAAGCACAAAAATCTGTTAACTGGACACTAGACTGTGCAAATGAGAATGCAAACTCTGTGAAGTAACCCTCTTACACTGTATCTTAGTTACCCTTTTAATATATCATGAATTTTTCAAGCCTCTCAAAACAAGTCTGGAAACCATTGCCCTAAATTTGCTCATTAATTATGTAAATTTCTGTCACTTTCATCTCTGTGTAAACTATCAGATGATGCAGTGGAGAACATACACTATCATCCATTGTTTGGAAAATTAACATATTCAGATTAGCTGTATGCTATATTTATCAGCCAATCAACATCACTGCCATCCATTGTTTGGACAATTAGCATATTCAGATTAGCTGTATGCTATATTTATCAGCCAATCAACATCACTGCCATCCATTGTTTGGACAATTAGCATATTCAGATTAGCTGTATGCTATATTTATCAACCAATCAACATCACTGTCATCCATTGTTTGGAAAATTAACATATTCAGATTAGCTGTATGCTATATTTATCAGCCAATCAACATCACTGTCATCCATTGTTTGGACAATTAGCATATTCAGATTAGCTATGTGCTATATTTATCAACCAATCAACATCACTGTCATCCATTGTTTGGAAAATTAACATATTCAGATTAGCTGTATGCTATATTTATCAGCCAATCAACATCACTGCCATCCATTGTTTGGACAATTAACATATTCAGATTAGCTGTATGCTATATTTATCAGCCAATCAACATCACTATCATCTATTGTTTGGAAAATTAACATATTCAGATTAGCTGTATGCTATATTTATCAACAAATCGTGGTAACACACTGACCGTATGAGCGATGTATTTAGACTAACGTGGAGAGCCCAGAAGAAGGTGCTAATTACACTGTTCAACTCAAACCTCTGCATATATTTCTTCAAAGCTTACCCAAGAACTTTTTTCCTTTTATTCGACCAATAGCATTTTTTGCATCTGCACACCGCACATATCGTATATGTGCCACTTTTTGTTTATTTTCCTCAACAGGAAAACAAATCTGCTCAACATTGTTTGTTCGCCTGCAAGATGGAATAATTATTTTTGAAGTAGTAAAATTTTGAAATTCTCTATTAAGAAATATGTTATATCATCAATGAAATGAACAAATCTGATTGAGAGCCACGTACATATAAAATATCGAAGCAATCAGGCCTATGGTTTTCAAGAAGAAGTTGTTTAAAAAGCACGTGTTGACAGACATATCAGACTGCAGATCTTGAACATGTCAGGATGCCAACAAAAACAATCACTTAGTATATGTACAGCTCCTTTTCGCTCATGTTTGATGACAGCAGAGCTGGTGAAAAAGGTTGCAGCAATGATTTTGATAATTACCATTTTGACCAAACAAGGGGAGAAGGGAGACAATGGTCAACTGAACTTTCTGAAAGCCAAAGACATGTATAAAAGTTCTTGTCATCAAAAGAAAATAAACCATTACTTCAAAATTCTTACTTCACAACTTTCTCAATATCTTCTTTGGTAGCATTTTCTGGTATCCCAGAAACCACCAAAGTTCTTGTTGTATCCTGTGTATGAGGGCGCCCCACTCTAGGTGAAGTGTCAGCCTTGATTTTCTTTACCTCTGGGGTTCCTAGAAACAGTCAGATGTATAAATCAATTTCTGAAATATCACAAAACCTTGTTTGATTGGATGGCATGTTTACACATGGACAGAAATAAACTATATGCTTGATTTTAGGAAGATAACATAATAAATTATCTTGGCAAATTCACTTTATTAACACCATACCGGGGTATGTAAATTA